ACAGAGGAGCTTACACTCTAATGTCCCCTCCCCCCACAGTCACATCCGTCTCTGTACAGAGGAGCTTACACTCTAATGTCCCCTCCCCCCACAGTCACATCCGTCTCTGTACAGAGGAGCTTACACTCTAATGTCCCCTCCCCCCACAGTCACATCCGTCTCTGTACAGAGGAGCTTACACTCTAATGTCCCCTCCCCCCACAGTCACATCCGTCTCTGTACAGAGGAGCTTACACTCTAATGTCCCCTCCCCCCACAGTCACATCCGTCTCTGTACAGAGGAGCTTACACTCTAATGTCCCCTCCCCCCACAGTCACATCCGTCTCTGTACAGAGGAGCTTACACTCTAATGTCCCCTCCCCCCACAGTCACATCCGTCTCTGTACAGAGGAGCTTACACTCTAATGTCCCCTCCCCCCACAGTCACATCCGTCTCTGTACAGAGGAGCTTACACTCTAATGTCCCCTCCCCCCACAGTCACATCCGTCTCTGTACAGAGGAGCTTACACTCTAATGTCCCCTCCCCCCACAGTCACATCCGTCTCTGTACAGAGGAGCTTACACTCTAATGTCCCCTCCCCCCACAGTCACATCCGTCTCTGTACAGAGGAGCTTACACTCTAATGTCCCCTCCCCCCACAGTCACATCCGTCTCTGTACAGAGGAGCTTACACTCTAATGTCCCCTCCCCCCACAGTCACATCCGTCTCTGTACAGAGGAGCTTACACTCTAATGTCCCCTCCCCCCACAGTCACATCCGTCTCTGTACAGAGGAGCTTACACTCTAATGTCCCCTCCCCCCACAGTCACATCCGTCTCTGTACAGAGGAGCTTACACTCTAATGTCCCCTCCCCCCACAGTCACATCCGTCTCTGTACAGAGGAGCTTACACTCTAATGTCCCCTCCCCCCACAGTCACATCCGTCTCTGTACAGAGGAGCTTACACTCTAATGTCCCCTCCCCCCCCACAGTCACATCAGTCTCTATACAGAGGAGCTTACACTCTAATGCAGAATGGCAACAGCTGTAGGGGGACTACAGATCCCAGCAATATATTTATACAGCAATGCAGAACAGTATATGAATTGGACTCAGGGCTTAATGACCTGCTGGAATCTGGGCTTAGTGACCCGCTGGAATCTGGGCTTAGTGACCCGCTGGACTCAGGGCTTAGTGACCCGCTGGACTCAGGGCTTAGTGACCCGCTGGGCTCAGGGCTTAGTGACCCGCTGGACACAGGACCCACCTGAGACCCCACACATACCTGAGAGTGATCCTGCAGAGCCCACCATAGATGCTGCACAGCCCATCTGAGACTCACTGTGGTGGGCTCGGCAGGGGTCTCAGGTGGGCTGGTCAGGGATGCATCTCCCTCCCTTCTAGCTCCTCTTACTCGCTCCTGCTGCTGGTGCCTGCCTCCTCACCTGTCACCGTTGGCTGATACCTATGTAAGGGTCCCAGGTGGGCCCCCAGGCTACCCGGGCCCCTTACATGAGTATCGACCCCTGATGGCGGCCATGATTACAGATGTTGATTGGTGGTTTGTTGTTGGTAAGTGGTGGAAACCAGAGTATCGCTTCCTTGCAATAAAGTTTAATTTAAAAAAGTCTCTTTACTTCGAAGTAAAACCTTCAGAGGCAGATGAGGAACAAATAACCCTTCCTCGAATTGCAGGGGTGCAGAAGAGCCTAATCAACTTTTTTTAAGAGGTCCTCTATGATGAGCATATAGGGGCTGTTGTACGCTCTCCAACCCTCTTTGATGTGTCAGTGCGCGCTCCTGGGGGTGCCAGGCGGGAATTTGTGGGGAGGGGAAGCTATTATTATGCTCAAAATGTAAATCAACCCGATCTTGATCTAAAGCCATATGAACTGACATAATGACTTCTTGGCAGGTTTTATAACAAGGACAACGTATCTTTGGTCTCGCTACTGATGTACACAAGGTCAGGATTTTGACCAGATTAGTTCACAACTGAATTTTTTAACCAATCTACTTCTGCCGTGCTTGGCCTGTAAGATGGAGACTATTCTCCTGTATCCTGTCCAAGCTCCTTTAGGAGTTTCTGATACCGTGAGGAAATCAAGGTTCCTTCAGTAACAACAGGCTCCAGGTTTGGTGTCTGCAACATTACGGGTAATTGGCAATGTAACGGATGCCCGCCGTCTGCGCATGTGCAACCTGCGCGTTCCCACACTGCTCGGGAACGCGCCATCCCGCGCATGCGCAGAAGCAGTAGTCCACCAGCACGAAAATCCGCCATAGCGGCGCACAGGAAATGACATCACTGGCCCTATATAAACCCAGCAGCAGTACCACCATGTTGCTGGTTTATCGTCAGCTAATCCTTGTTCCAGGTTTGTGATATCTTGCTTGATCCCTGTGACCCGGACTTCCTTGACTAACCTTGAATTCTGCCTGCCTTGACCTCGGAACTGTTATTTGACCATTCTTCTGCCTAACCTCTTTTGTACTGGAATTGCCCGCTTGGAACCTGACCTCGTCTCGCCTCATTGGATTACGGCTTGCACGGTGCTCAACACCACTGGCACTCCTGCCACTTGTTGTCCCGCTGGGCTCCCATCCTCAGAGTCTCCCAGGACACAAGGTGCAAGGAAGCCTCCTCTCACATCCGCTCTCCCAGAAGGTACGTAACAGGCAATCATAAAGCAATAGTGAAACAGATCCCCCAGAAGTGGGCAGAAGTTGCCCTCATCCCCCAACTTCTGGTCTGCATCATTACTAAGGCCTTGTCAGGGATTGGTCCCCTAGATGAATGTGTAGCTCAGAACAGCTGGGGATCACTAGAGGTCAGAATTTCCAGGGGGTTCATCCAACTGCCCATCCGCCTTTCAATTTGCTGAATCACAAGTTGATTTGAGGGGCCCGCAGCTCCCAAGATGATGTTGCAGATCTTTTGACAGGATTGCCTTACCACGAAAGAAGACTCATCCCTGCCCCAAATGTTACTTGTTGAGTATGTCCAGAATATGACTGAGAAGTATACAAACGATGGTCTGAGCCCGTCCGGGCTGAAAGCTCTAGAAGGTTGTCTCCAGAAGTCTGCAAAATTTCTCTGTCCTACAAACTTTTTTTGTGTGACAATTTGCAGATATCCAAAAATGTTTCTGGAGCTGCTGGGGATCCCTGAAATCTTCATGAACAGTTCATTATGTTCTTTGGACTTTTTCATTAGATAATTTTTGGCAGATTCCCTGTGTTCTGATTGGCAACAGACTCTAGAAAACCAGGAAAAAAACAATCCATACTTCCTCTGGCCATCTAATCCTTGCCAGAGAACCTACCCACATTTCCCTTGGCCAAAGGTCCCACCCACACTTTCCCTGCTTAGAAAAACCCACCCACACCACTGGTCAGAGGACCCACCCACATTTCTCCTGGCAAAGAACCCATCCAGACTTTCCCTGGCCAGGGAACCCACCCATGCTTCCCCTGGCCAGGAAACCCACCCACATGTCCCCTGGCCAGAGGACCCACCCACATGTCCCCTGGCCAGAGGACCCACCCATGTTTCCCCTGGCCAGGAAACCTATGCACACTTTCCCTGCCCTGGTAACCCATCCAAACTTTCCCTGGCCAGGGAACCCAACCACACATCCCCTGGCCAGGAAACCCACCCACACTTCCCCTGGCCATGTTATCCTTGGGTTGATTTGTCACAGTGCATCAGTCTATAGTTTCAGATCACAGGAGGAGATTGAGTGGATTCTTTGATTATGTTGTGTGAGTCGCTCCTCTGGTTCGGCTCTCTTCAGGAAGTGGTGAAGGTTCATTTATATAAAGGGGGTAAATACTTTGTAACTGTTTCTGAAATATATAAAGTATTTGTACGAAGATAATCTATGTGTTTTTGTGGATTTCTAAACCAGAAAGTGTTTGACTTCTATGAGCACACCACGTCCCCGGTGACTGGAATTAATTGCTTCCAGGTTATAAATCCCGGAGGTGTCACCAAGGTGTCCGCGCTTCTCTATATAGTCTTTCCTGAGACGTACTGTGGTCACAGTGCTGCCTGCCTGCCCCGGGCTCTGACACAGGTGAGTGAGCTTCCTGCATGGCACAGGAGGGTGCAGAGAGGTGCCGGCAACAGGACTTTACAGATACCTCCCAGCACCATACTGCGCATAGCACAGCACCATACAGACATCACCTAGCACCATACTGTGCATAATCTGGGAACAGGGTAAAGAGGTGTTTTAATAGTTTGGGGCTTGCCAGTCATAGTTACATAGTATTGGAGGTTGAATAAAGACACAGGTCCATCAAGTCCAACCTATTGTGTGTCTGTGTGTGTGTTGTGCATATGTGTGTGTGTGTATACGAGTCCCTGTGTGGTCTTAGTTTTGAAGAGTACCTGTACCCCTTTATGTTACGGTCTCTAAAGACAGTATCTAATTGATTGTGCATACATGATGCCTGGTGTGTCCCTGTACCTTTAAGGGGGTTGGGCTTCCTCCTGGAGAACCTGCACCCAATTCTATCTTTTGCTACATGTGCTCCAAGATGGCGGCTCTCATAGGTCAGAGTTAGGACCGCACTACACAGAGGGGCCTTGAGGAGGCGGTGCGGCTTTCACATGTCCTGCAGAAGACGCGTATCTAAGACCTTAGCGGTTAGACAGGCTTCTTTTTGCATACTGGCTGGTGAGTGTGCTGGGAAACTTTTTGCTGTTGTCCTAACCTTCAACTTAACCCCTCACTACCCATCAAAAAGCTACAAACACAATGGAGGTTCATTTACTAAAGGAGTAGAATATGTTCACTTAGCACAGTGAGTTTTCACCTAAATCACTCCAGGAAGAAACAAAACAGCATACAGAGTATTGGATGTAAGGATGCAGATGGACATACCATCGCTAGAGAGTTTGTGGGGACCAGTCTAGCAGCCATTCCATGTGAACCTATATAGAATAATTGTATATTGATTTCATTCGGTGACAGAACCAGAAGTTTTGGATGAAATGAAGATTTAGCCATGCCTGAAGCCAACTCTTCAAACCAGCTTCCAACCCATTTCCTCCTACTTGGTATCCCGGGTCTGGAGCCATCTTACCTCTACATTGCCTTCATCTTCACCATTGTCTATGTGACCTCTGTTATTGGTAACATTGCTCTTCTCTTCATCATCAAGATAGACCGGAGTCTCCATGAACCCATGTACTTCTTTCTCTGTATGTTGTCTGCTATTGACCTCATCCTGTCCAACTCTACCACACCCAAGATGTTGGGGATCCTTTGGTCCAACAACCATGAGATTTACTCTGAGGCCTGCCTCACACAAATGTTCTTCCTCCATTCCTTTGCCATAATGGAGTCCGCGCTGCTCCTGGCCATGTCCTTCGATCGATATATTGCCATTTGCCAGCCGCTAAGATATTATTCAATATTAACAAAATTGCTCATCACCAACATCGGACTGTTGGCCATCAGTAGAGCTGTAGCATTAATGACTCCATTACCGTTCCTTATAAAAAGACTGCCCTTCTGCTCCTCCAATGTCATCCACCATTCCTACTGCGAGCACATGGCCGTGGTGAAGCTGGCGTGCGTTGATACAACCTTCAACAACATCTATGGCCTTGTGGTGGCTCTTGTTATTGTGGGGCTGGACTTGATCTTCCTCATCTGTTCCTATGTCCTGATTCTTCAGGCTGTGTTCCGGCTGGCCTCATCAGAAGCCCGGTATAAGGCCCTCAGTACGTGTGCTGCTCACATTTGCGCTATCCTTTCATTCTACGTTCCTGTTGTCCTCTCCTCGCTGGTCCACCGCTTTGGGAAAAATGTCCCAATCCACATTCACATCTTGTTGGCCAACATCTACCTGATGCTGCCACCTCTGATCAACCCCATCGTATATGGCGTGAGGACCAAACAAATTCGGAACAGGATTAAGTCGGCCTTCAGCGTGAATTTCATGTGTTCCATAAGCGTCCGTAAATCAAATCAAAGTACGCAACTTCCAAAATGGAACCAGAGTCAACACCTAAAATGACCCTTTCTACAGGTATCTGCACATAACAGTCCCTCTGCTTGTATTAGGAACTGCCGGAAGGATATTGTTCATGTTTAGGGTTTTCTCAGACTTTCCCATTTAAATGTTTATAATTTGGAAAGAACTGAAAGATTTATTTTAGGGTTGTCCATACAAAGGCTCACTCGTTGGGTTGTTTGTTGTGAGACAATACACAACTATTAAACAAAATCAATCATTTGCACTTCAATACTGTTCATTCATATACAGATTTAATGTGTGGCACCACAACACTGCAGGGGAGCTAGGGGTGTCAGTAGACCTGCTTATCTCAAACACACGCCCCAAATTCTCCAAGGTCAGTGACTAGGGTTGTCACCTTTTCGTCAAGCGAAACCCGAACACTCTAGCGATGCGCAGACATTTTTCCTGTCAGCTCCATGACAGCACAATGGGTTAATCCCTCCCTCCTTCCCAGTCGTGCGCTGACATGGAGCTGGACAGGAAAGGAAAATTGCGGTAAGTATGAAATACAATTTTCCTGTTTTTTGGGGAGAATGAGTCGCGGCTTATTCATATGTAAATATCACAATCGAGACTATTTTCAGTTGGCGGAGGGGG